TTAGGGTTTAGGAGTTTAGGGCTTGGTGTTGTATGGTTGAGGGAGTAACCCGGCACGGTAGACTTGCCCTAAACCCTTGGTATTTTTAGGGTCGAGGTTGAGCGCAAGAGCGAGACCTCACATCCATAGAATCTCAAGAACAAGCCTCAAAGACTCAAAGCCGTGCCCCGAACTTCGTGCCCCACAGAGGGTGCATCCTTCCCTGCGCTCCATTCGTGTGCGATCCGGATCATCACTAGACGGCCGCCTGCCAACAAGAGCTCTTGACCAATCTACGACAGATCAGCAAAATGTGCACATCGCCATGAACATTCTTATATACTACGTATGTGTGTGTGTACATAGTATGTACATATTTATATATACAGACCTGCTTTTGTATGTTTTATATATGTTTGTGTGTGTATATGCATATACATATATATATATATAACTATATATACACATGTATATATATATATATATACACTTTACATTCTACCTCTACCTATCTATCTGTTTATCTATCTGTCTATCTGTTTATCTATCTATCTAGCTACTGTCTTCTCTGTCTGTCTCTGTGTGTGCATGTACTGCTCAGGGCTGTGCCATTCCCAGGCAGACGGCTCCGGTTTCGCACGTGCACGTATCGCTTTGTAGATTGTAGGATTTTTCGCACCCGGCTGAAGCATGCTCGCCTTGCGGCGTTCTTGGTACGCCGGCTGTCCATAGCTTCTGAACGTGGTAAACGACCTGGAGGGAACGAGGGGGCGGTGAAAGCCGGCATCAGTGATGTCTTTTGAGACTCGCAGCATGTGAGAAGTTTGACGAATTCGCAGTAGGCTTTCCGGCTAGAGCTTGTCACCAGCCATCCTCACGGCGAGTCCAGGCGATCTCTGTTCATGTCACCCTCTCAGTTCGGATGAAAATCATTTCAATCCAACCTGGCAAAAGCCCAGTGACAGTTTTGGATGTTTTATGCCGACGACAGCTTCCGTTTGTTTACCGAAGTTTTGCCCTGCATTTCCTTGAAGTTTGCCTCTCGGAGCATTCCGTTCTGGATGAGGCTGGACTTCCTAGGGGCACTCCCGATTTCTTGAGGAAGCATCTGCCTGCTAGCTGACACTCTGAAAAGCACCTGCTGGCAAGCAAAGCCGTGAATGTAGTGCCTGCCCTAAACCCTAAACCCTAAACCCTAAACCCTCCTGAGCCCACACACGGACCTTCTTCAATCTATGCCTCCTGTTGCGGCCATCAGGTGGCCCAGACCTTCCAAAAATCTCTTAATTAAGGAGTAGACCTCAAAGATCATAATACGTAGGGTTTAGGGTTTAGGGTTTAGGGTTTAGATCCTACTATAGCTTACCCTAAGGGTCCATGTACCCAAAATGATATACTTTGGCCTTAAAGTAGTCCCTGTATAATCACTTTGGGGCCAATGTATTACTATTTGGGTACATGGACCCTCAGGGTTAATGCTATACCTTGATAAAGGGATTTTGGAAGGTCTGGGGGGCAAATACCATGGGCTTCAGTCTTCCATGCACGCCACAAGTGTGTCGGCGTCCTCCCAACTACTGCTGGAGGATGCAACATTGGAGGCCCCACCGATTCGAGATCGGCTGCAGAGAGCGAGGTTTAGGTTCAGGGCTTTAGGGCATTAGGGTTTTAGTGTTCTAGGGGTAGTTGGGGTTTAGGGTTTAGGGTTTTAGGGTTGGCTGGGGTTTAGGGTTCAAGGTTTTGGCGGGATTCGCGAGTTATTACTGCGTAATTACTGTCACCTGACTGCGAACGCGGCCTGCCATGGAAGTCTTAGTAAGAAGCAATATGTACTTGTCCTCCGGGTTCCTTCATATTGTACCCAAACCCTAAACTCTCATCCCTAAACCCTTGTTCTAACCGTTATGCAAGCCCCTCGCCAAGTAATGTAGTAGGGGCCTTAATAATTAGAATAGGGTTTTGGGTGCTTCTTTTCATATTTATAGTACAACATACCCCCCAAACCCTGTTCTAACTATTAAGGCCCCGATATTATCATTTTTGGTTAACATAGAAGCCTAAATAATTACCAATATTACTGTTAGGGTTCCTTATTACAAAATGCACTAGCCCAAAACCCCATTCTAATTATCAATAAGGCACCCCTAACCCTAAACCCTATAAACCCTATATGAAGGGTCTTGGGCTCGCGTTTGGGATTTGGCAGCAGCCGAACGCATGAAGTTTAAACGGCGAGCGATCTTGGACCCTAAACCCGAAGCCCTGAACCCCAAGCCCCAAACCTCTAAACCCCTAAACCCTAAACCCTAAACCGTAAAATTGTGGCTCCAAAAGGGCTCCAGACCGATCTCTGATTCCGGGCGCCGCGCATTGGAAAGGAAGTGGACGTCGGATGGGCGCCCTCCACCAAGCAAAGAGTGCCATGCTGTTCCCAAGGGTTGCAGAGATGCTTGCAGTATTGCAAAAAAAAACCTAAACCTTACACCCTAAACCCAAATCCCCTAAACCCAAATCCCCTAAACCCTAAACCCAAATCCCCTCAACCCTAAACCCTAAACCCCTCAACCCTAAACCCTAAACCTAAGCCCTCAACCCTAAACCCTAAACCATAGACCCCTAAACCCGAAACCCCAGACCCGTGAACCCAAAACCTGAGCCAAGACGGTTGCCTTGAATCGCCACCTGCACTTCGCTTCATGGGGCTTCGGGTTTTGATGTTGCAAGGTTTATTGGGCTTCATAAGTTTCGGATAGGTGGTTTAGATTTTTACGTGCTGACAAAGAGGATTCCTTGTCAGATTATGCTTTGCCCCCAAACCCGAAACCCTAAACCCTGACCCCTAAATCCTAACTCCTAAACCCTAAACCCTAACTCCTAAACCCTAAACCCCAAACCCTAAACCCCAAACCCTAAACCCTATTCGAACTAGTCAGGCCCCTGCACCGGCGATTCGGGTTTGGGATGAGCTTGAGCTTCGAGCTGGGCTTTAGCCGAGCATAGGGCGGTTTAGGGTTTAGGGCTTACTGTTTAAACTTAGGGCTTAGGGTTTAGGCTTTAGGGTCTAGGGTTTATAAACCCTAAACCCTAAACCCTAAACCCTAAACCCTAAACCCTAACCCTTAAACCCTTAAACCCTAAACCTTTAGGGTCTAGGGTTTAGGCTTTAGGGTTTAGGGGTCTT